AAAAAAACTGAGTATGCTTAACATTTTGTATGTAATCCATTTTGAATTACTTGTATTGAATATGCACAAATATTTTAATCATTAACAAATATGTAGGATCGCAAAAACCGCAATTGCCGGATGATGGCGTAATCCGCTTGTTCTCTATGCGCTTTTGCCCATATGCTCATAGAGCGCATTTAGTCTTAGATGCCAAAGGTATTCCATATCACACGATTTTTATAAATCTTACGGAAAAACCGGAATGGCTTACTGAATTCAGCCCATTGGGCAAAGTACCGGCAGTATTATTACCGAAAGAGGAGGGCAGCCCAGCTTTAATTGAGTCTCTCATCATTGCTGAATACCTCGATGAGAAGTACCCGGAAAAACGACTTTTCCCTAAAGATCCTCTAAAGAAAGCGCAAGACAAAATACTCATTGAGCGATTCAACCCTGTAGTTAGCTCCATGTATAAAGTATTTTTGGGCGGAAGTGAAGGGGCTCCTGGTGCACTAACTGACATCTCAAAGGGATTAGATGTGTTCGAGAAAGAGCTGAGCTCCCGTGGAACACCCTACTTTGGCGGCGAAAAGCCTGGCATGTTAGATTATATGATCTGGCCGTGGTGTGAACGTTCTGAAATGTTGAAATACTTACTACCGGATAAATATGAAATGGATAAAGATCGCTTTGGAAAGCTGGTAAGATACTTGCTTACTTTTACTTACTCAAAGTGAAATGTGTATAACATAATCCACTATATATGTAGATTCAATGGCGTGACCTGATGATAAACGATCCTGCTGTCAAAGGATTCTATTTGGATGGTGAAACACATGCCAAGTTCATGAAAGCCCGTCGTGAAAATGTTCATGACTACGATATGCTCGTGTAAGACTTTTCTAGATGTACACGCGTCATAGCATACATACATATGTATGTATTTAGTGTTAACTTTTATTTTTTATATATATATATACATACCTGTGTGACTAACATTTTTGCGACATTCCTACAGTAATCAAAGCCTATGAGCTTCTATATTAAACACCGTAATCGACTTCTATTAACCTTGTGTACTTTTTATAAGTTTTGAATGTAATTAAAACTCTTGCTATTCATGCACTGATATTTTATGTTTGATTTCATTTTCAGGAGCGA